TGTCACATCCCATCCACCCAGCAGCATTATGACTTTGTAGTAATTTACCCTGCAGCGGTAACTGATTTTCGTTTACCACTATTCAGCAGACCTTTCTGGCATGGTAGGACCTCGAGAGAACAAGCGTTCCGCCAGCATAGCTCACTGGGTCATTGTGATGCTCAAGTCCGACCACCACATCAAGGTAGCGACTTTCTGTCGGGACATATATATATATATATATATATATATATAAGCTGAATTTGTACGAGCACACCACTGATAAGCATAGCACCGAATAAACTAAATGGCTGTCCGGTGATTATATGACTCTAATTTGGCTGAATGAATACTACAAATCGACTTGGGTAGTTTCTAGCTACTCGAGTTGTTTAAATGTCGATCTAATTTCTTGATACTGATAAGCCTTATAACCGTTGAAATAGACATAAAATAAACACAGCTACCTAAAACATTTTTGAATGAGAATTTAAGGCATATCAGCCTCCTAAATGTTTTCTCCATCATCAAATCCAAACTTTCTATTTTTATTCCGTGCTACCGAAAAGTCCCGTACCAGGACAAAATGGCTCTTCGGTGCTTCCAGGTTTTCCATGGCTCATTGGCTGATCCTAATCCATGATTAGTATCACCTGGAAATAAGTAAAATCCCCCTAAACCTCAAAGTACAGTAATAATAATGATAATAATCATCGTCTTATTCTTAATAATATGCTTGATGCAATACAAAACTTTTAGGATGCATTATTTGAGGAAATTTTGTACTTAGTGTAAGATTGCAGGGGTTAGTCAGCAGGAATCCATGTTCATAGCCTTTCTTTATCAGCAGGATCTATCTGTAACTATGAGGAAACTAGTCTTCCGTCGGTGATTCAGAAATGTCTCACTCAGAGCTCACACCAGCAATATCTTTATAAGAAACCTTTATGACATCCAAATGGTGTTGATATTAAAAGTATTATTAGCCCTAAGATGTGACAACCAGTTGTTGTCGGGCTACTGCCTAGTCAGTGACCACTTTGTTGCTCAGGGAGATTGACTGAAACACATGCACAAGTTTGGTAGGTAAGATTTATTCAGTCAATATGAAAATACACAGTTTGAGTTAACTATTCCAAAGTGTAATGTGATGGTTCTAAAGGCAGATTAACACCCCTTTTCATGTCTTCTCTTCGGGATAAATTTGCTAACCTAATATTTAAGCAGGCTGCTATATGAAGCTAATATACAATTAGTTCAAATCTACAGTTTATGAGACGAATGACAAATTAATTTCCAAGAAGATTTATAGTTTATCTCATCACTGAGTTTCACCCTTTTAGTTTAGTGAAGAATTTGTTCCTTGAGCTTGATATTCGATTGACAAAGTATTTAATATTAGACTAGATATCTCCAAGCCAGGATCGAAAAAGCAAGACCGGCGTTCATTAACCTGAAACCAATGTAGAGATCTTCTACACTCAGCGTAAAGCTTGAACAACATCCGGATTTTCAACACCAACGTCAAGTCAGTGCTTCTGTATGCTTCAGAGACTTGGCACGTTACGAAAAGCATTTCCAACAAACTACAGACATTCATCAACAACTGCCTACGCTGATGCGTTACTGAAGATCAGATGGATTGCCAGAAAGAATAAGCAACAAGGAACTCTGGAAACGAACTAACCAAGAACCTATCACTCAACAAATATGCAGAAGGAGGAGGTGGAGATGGATTGGGCATACACTGAGAAGGCCGACTGGGGACATCACGCTCCAGGCCAGGCACTCGAGTGAAACCCGATGGGAAGCGACGAGTTGGGTATCCCAGCTGAGAGTGACATGGAGGAGATCTTGTGAGGAAGAAATGACAGCTTTTGGGCAGTGGTGGAGCCAGGTTCAATAGATTGCAGTGAACAGAGTGAGATGGTGACGTGCTACTGAAGCCATATATTACATTAGGAACCCAACGCACAAATAAATAATATAATGGGTATCTCCAGGACTGGAAGTTTGCATATCTTTATGAATTCACACTCATGATAATGTTTGATGTGAGAGATAGAAACTGGGAAATAGCCAAATATTACCTAGAAGATTTCCATTTCTAAACTATTGTATATAATATTGTTAGTGCTCAATTTCTGCATTCATTTGTAGTAATTGCTGTTCATGAATTTAAAATAATTCAACTAACAGAAATCAATAAATCTACAGTAACTTAATCCATGAACTTCCATTCTATATATATATATATATATATATATATATATATATATATATGTTTATGTATATATATATATATATATATATATATATATATATATATATATATATTGATAGGTAATAATAACAAGTGGAATAAAAAAGATTGTCTAGATAGATTGTGTTTAGTATTGCTATGGTTTAATGAATTTTCATAAATAGATAACACAAAAGAAAATGAGGCATAGATTAGGTTAACTGATTACGATTGATACTCCTACGCACAATATCCTACAATAGCCATATGAGTTGGATTGAAAAATTATCTTCTTCAGAGGTTCTTTAAAATAGCTTCTTCAGTGAACTGGACTCATTTAAGAAATAACAGAAGTTTTTTGACCTAAATATTTGCTGAAACTGAAGAATTCTGCCATCTTTCAGCAACTGGTTCAGTGATCTTGAATGCCTAATCATATTTTCAAGTCATTGGAAATTTTGTTGTCACTATCAAAGAAAATACTCAGTGAAAATTCAAGAAATCACACTATTTGGTTATTGAACAGTTTTTTTTGGTGCAGAATGGTACTCTTCAACAGTGTGAACAAGAACTTGTAGGTCTCGCGGCAAGCCATTGAGTTGGAAACCAGTAGTTCATATTTTCCTACTTCTGTCAGTTCACGATATAGCATGTTCTCCATGCATTGCCATCGCTGTGTACCTGTCCAAATGTCCGACTTGGTTTGCGCCCCAGGTCACGAAACTGCTGTCAAGTGCTCCCACGATTTTAAGGGTTCTCCAACTGATGTCATCACATGACCCCCTTGAAACAATAAAATCACTGCAAACCTTCAAACAGGAAATCTTAATGTTGTTGCTTGTATTATTCCATCGTTGATTAAACCGAATTGATCGGTCTCTGTTGGCACGTGGGATCCTGCGTGAATGCCCCAATATTGCCTGTGTTTTGATTATATATTAATGGTGGGTAGTGAACGAAAAGCGCGTCCTTGATTACACTGCAAGCCACCGTCCATCACTAATATGTAATTAAAACGCAGGCAATATCGAGTAATCCGCGCGCGAGCCCATGTGCCAACATTATTATTATTTGTCCCTTGATTTCCTAGTCGAACATAAAGCTTCAGTAGCACGTCTCCAGTGAACTCTGTTCTCTGTAATCTTTTGAACCTGGCTCCACCACTGCCCAGAAGTTATCATTTCTTCACCACAAGATCTCCATATCACCTCCACCTAGGATATCCAACTCGCCGTTTCCCATTTGGATTCCACTCCACCACCTGGTTTGGTGCGTGATGTCCCCAGTCGGCCTTCTCAGTGTATGCCCAATCCATCTCCACCTCCTCCTTCTGCATATTTGTTGAGTGATAGGTTCTTGGTTAGTTCGTTTCCAGAGTTCCTTGTTGCTTATTCTTTCTGGCAATCCATCTGATCTTCAGTAACGCATCAGCGTAGGCAGTTGTTGATGAATGTCTGTAGTTTGTTGGAAATGCTTTTCGTAACGTGCCAAGTCTCTTAACCATCACATGTAAGCACTAACTCGACTGACATTAGTGTTGAAAATCTGAATCTTGTCCACGTTTTATGCTGAGTGCGAAAGATCTCTACACTGGTTTCAGGTTAATGAAAGCCTGTCTTGCTATCTTTCCGATCCTGGCTGACTTTGACATCCTCGTCTGTGCCGCCACCTGTAGTTGAAACAGTGCTGCCTAGGTAGGTGAAAGAGGTTACTTCCTTCAGGTTTCTCCCGTTCATGGTGATTGGAGCTTGTTGTTGTTCTAGTTGGAGTTGTTGGTGCGGTATCTTCATCACCTCTACCTCTGACTTCCCTATATTCACTTAAAGTCCTGTCTTCCTTGGCTGCTCTGCTCTACCTCTTCTGTCAACTTGTTAGTTTTCGCCTGTAGATCTTCAAGTTTGTGTGACATGAGACACAAGTCATCAGCGAAATGCAGATCTTCTAGGTTCTTTTCCGCCGTCAAGCCAGCGAATTCCTCTCTTCTCGCTCCCCACTGTTAGCTGCATGATCCAGTCAACCACTATCAGGAATATCATGGGTGATGGTAGGCAACGTTGTTTCACTCCTGTCTTCACTGCAAAAGCATCACTGAGCTTCCCATTGTGAATTACTTCTGCTTTTGTCGGAGGGCATGTGTTCACATGTAGTTCTATGGCTGCAGGTGGTATTTCTGGAGGAAGTGCAGGTGGTGGTTGATTCAGCAGCTTCTTGAAGTGATCGGCCCATCGTTTCCTTTGTTTCTTTTATTTCGTAATTATATTTCCGTCATCATCTTTTATTGGTTTCATGTGTGCTGATCTCTTCCCTCCCAGATAGTAACCTGGTTATTTGATACAATGTCGTCAGGTCTCTGACTCTCTTACCTGCAGCCTGTTCTGCTTCACTTGCCAGTGTTTCGTAGAAGTGTCTTTTGTCTCTCCGTGCACTCTTCTTCACTTCTTTGTCCAGTATTTTATACATTGTACTCAGTTTCTCTTGTCGTTGAGCATCCTTGCACTGGTTTATCTTCTGCTTCACCATCCTCCTCTCCCTCCTCTATCAGCTTCCAGGTATCCGTCGAGATCCATTCCTTGTCTTGTCTTCTATCTTCTTCCTTTTTAATGCGGTTGCGCAGGTTTCTATTCACATAGCTTTCAAAGAGTTTCAGTGCTCATCCACAGAGATTTCTTCAGGGATGTTGCTCGATATCTCCCATTTTGTCTTGATGACTGGCTGACGTGAAGATTTCCTTAGCAGTTTCGTCCTTCAGTTTCCGAGTGTTGTACTTGAACTGTGGTCTATCGCCAGCTTCCTTGAAGGCTTTTAACTTGATTTGGAAGGTAGGTTCCTTGCATTAGATAGTGAAGTGAGTGGTGTGAACCTACATCTGCTCCTCTTCTTCATCTGATCTGGTGTCATGTAGGTTGCGTCTCCACTTTCTTCACATGAACATGAACTCGATCTGATTTTTAGTGTGTCAATCTGGTGTAATCAAATGCATGTCACTTTGTGTATATCTCTGTGCTTGAACACAGTGCCTCCAATCAACAAAGAGTTGAATGCACAGAATTCTGCAAACAATTCTCCATTCTCTTTCATCACCTCACCGAGTACTTCTCGACCTATAGTTAGTGCTCTTCCTGTGTTGTCTGCTCCCAGTTTGGCATTAATGTTGACAATTGGAATGGATTTTGATGTCACCAACTGGGGTGTCGTCTTGTCTAGTGTTGATTGCAGTTGTCTGTAGAATTCCTCCTTCTTCTCTTCATCTGCATTATTTGTAGGTGCGTAGCATAACATTGTATGATTGTGACCTTCCTTCCTTCTGAGTTGAATCCATCTTGCTGTCATCATTCTGGAGGAGACTGGTTAGCAAAACATGACAGTGAGTCTTCGATGCTCTCCAGGACATCATGATAGCCACTCCAATACACAGTGTGCTCGTAGTTGTTGTCTGGGTGACAATATTGGAGTAGATTACTGACTCGTCTCCAGTTGACAGTTTGGAGAGTCCACTGCCATTCCATCTACTTTCACGAATTCCAAGCACTTCAATGTGATACCTCCTCATCTCATTTGCAATGTGGGCTGCCTTGCTGGGTTCAAACATCGTGCAGATATTCCATGTTTCCACGTTTACTTTCGCTTTCATTGAGAGAGAGAAGACACATCGGCCAATTTGCTTCTTGAAGGCAGGCTTTCACCAACTGGCGTCATTTCGCCTCTCCGATTCCAGCTAGGAATAATTTTGTTATTATTTTTTGTATTTTGTTTGTGCTTTGAAGTTTGTTTAGCGGTTATATTTGTTTTCCGGGGTAGGGTTGGTAGCCCAACCTTCCCTGTTTATGTGGGCTTAGGACACGGCTAGTAACTAGTGAACTAGTTAACCATACGATGTCAATTTGGTCCAGTCAACGACGGGATAATGCAAGCAGCAATGTTAAAACTATACCCATTGCAAAAGATGTGGCTATCGTGTCTTGATGGTCTACTGGGTAATGTTCTGGCACTTGAAGCAATCGGTCCCGAATTCGAGTTCTAGTGGAAACAACACTGCAAACTGGTAGGCAGGTATATCCAGCTGACATGTTCCAAATGGGAAGAAGCGTACCTTCTGAATTCCACCACTAGCCACTATCCATGACTGACAGAAATAACTTTAATGTTATTTTGGTTGTAATGTAAATTTAAAACCTTTTACAACCGTTTCCAACACAAAAATGTAGCTAAATGCCCACTGACTGTGGATTGATTGTTTCAAGGTCATTCAACAGTTGATCACAGACAGTAGAATTCTTCAGTACTACCGAATATCTTATATTCGAGGTTTAAAATGAGATGTAGTAGTGTTATTGGCCACTCTGTTCGTTGTAACGACTTTCTGATACCAACTTTGGTACAGTCTAAGTCTAAGGAAATTAACTATATCGATTAGGAGTTTATGTATTGTGAGATTATTTTATATATTCTAAACAGGTTTAAAGTGAGTGCTTACCCACAATTATCGGATTTCCTAGCTTTGATAATACTCTAAGTAAAATTAATGCTCATGATCATACAAACAGTTGGAATTTTAATTGGACGTTGCTGTTCGATTCCATATGCATGCTGTTTTCATTTTTTTCAGTTAGCTTGTTTGTCCAGGATGATGTCTAATGCAGCCTACAATTGTTGCCCACTCATCATCATAAGTTTTCAATAATTCTTGTACAGAATACACTCCAGTATCTAATGTTACATAGAAGGACAAAATTTTGTCGTCTGTATCGATTCCATTTGCTAATAGAGAATATTTAAAATCGTTACAAGATGATTTGAATTAATTGGTTATGAACTCAGTAGAACAATACCCATGCATTGTTGGATTGGATAACATCACCTTAGTGTTATCGACTATAACATCAATTTGTCAGAAGGCACTCAGCTTCGAATCCTTCAGACTTCAGAAATGGTGGCGATCACGATGAGTCTCATCGCTACAACTATCATGGCTCGATTCAGGACTCTCAAACTGCTTAGCATCCTAACTATGGAACCTAATTTTCAACCTCCTCATCTCTATAATCTGGAATAATTTTAACAAATTCTCTACTTCTATTCTGTCCCCAACATGAAAAACATTCTATCAAGGTATTATTCCTATAATTATCCATCTTTGCTTCATTCAGTCCTCATAAACACCATGCTATTGTTTTATTAAACTACCACCTTATAATGTTACACAAGCCGTATAACTGCTTAAATAAACAATTACTTTTAATTGAATCCCAGTAATAACTGATTCGAACATTAACGTTCACATAAGACTTATCTGAATTGACTTCCTCAACTGTAAAATATCATTAGAAAACTGATAAGTGGAATCTCAATATTGCTAACGTATAACTCCTCACTATGTACATATAACTGCAGAAACTGTAGAGGAAGTTATCGAAAAGAGTCTTCTTTGTTCACTCAAATGGCTCTTGAATTACATAACTCATATCTATAAGTAAGTAAAAGAATGATATAAAGGTTAATATCTATTCTTCAGTAAACGTCTTTATGCATCAAGTAAACAAACCGATTTTCAAATAATAGGAGAAACCAGACCCCACTCTTGAAATGAGCCTCAAACGACGCTTTGTTAAAGCGTGGAAGACTGCTATAGTCACGTTTTTACCTCTATTTCGAGTCTTCTTTGAAAAAAGTACAATATCACTTCTCGTAAATAAGATGAGAATTCCGTTTTCCAGTGGTTACACAGTAGCATTAAATAACGCTAGTGGTTTACTAGAAACGTGCTTTGGCATCCGAAAGAATGAGTACTGGATTTCTGTATTAATGGGAACAACATCACTCACTGGGATTCAGGTGCATACAGCTGACGAGTCCCATATAGCACGACGTGAGAGTCAGGGGTTCCACAGCCAATCACGAAGTAGGCTATCTTCTGTCACTTTAGGTAACTGCATGAGTGCTTCTGTATGAAGTAGATGCTGCTGAAATAATTTCCTTAACGACCTACTGAAACAAATGTGGATGAAATTCATTTACTTGGTTAAGAAGAGTTTCAGAAATAAATAACAAAGAATCAATAAACAACAACTGATACCGGCTGCATATTAGGTGTCTGTCGTACCCCATTGGCCTAGCAGATAACCTTTTGGCGTTTGAAGCAACAGTTACTGGATTTCAGCCTAAGTTTGATAAAAATCACTCACTGGGGTGCTGGTTCATCCAATTGAAGAATCTCAGATAGGACAGGACGCTTGTTCTAGATTCCACAGCTAATCACAAGGTAATTTCAGAAAGAAGTTGAATAGTTACAACAATACTAGGAAGTTGTTGTGCGTAACCTTAGCTACAAGTGTCTCTAGCCATTTCATAAATAACTAATTGGTAAAAATAACCAGCGTAGGCTTTTTTGATCTTTTCGGTGAATTTCATAAAAAAAATCAAGAAGGGATGCATTAAGATAAAAAAGATTATTGTATTTATCATCTCACTAATTAGCTTGTCCTTATTATTATAGTCATTAATTTTCCAAATTTTAATAGTACGCCGACGTTGATATGATCGAACTAATCAGACATTATTCACATGTGATCTGCTGTGTAGATGATACGATACTGGCGGTGATTAAAGTTTGATAACAATGAAGTACAGTAGCTTTTACTGCCAAACTGAATACCCATTTCTTCCTATTAGCAACTCCTAATCTGGACACAATTGCCTCCTAAGGAGAGGTATTGTTCCTCCTGAGACTTGAACTGCTCCAGACTCTGAAGTATAATCCACCAGAGTATAGAGTTACTAAAGTCATACCTGATGTGAATGGCATAGTTTGATGTAATACATTGCAGCATAATGTGATTGATTGACCTGAACTGAATCGATCAAACAACATTGTTATATTTGAGCTTCTATGCGGAAGATTTGGTGTTGCCGACAGCTCAGGCTTGACAGTGATGAAAGATATCGTCTGTTCACTGCAAAATCAAGCTCACTCCATTACAAAACATATAGTTGCTCTAATGAGTTATCTAGTGTATAACGCTCTGACATCTTTGGCACGCGGTTTGCACCTGTAAATGTAAGATGATGCCTGAGGACTGATCTGCTGCAAGTACTTCTATTTAGTGAAGTGATGGAATGTGTCGACCACAAACGGACCATTCGGCGTTTGCCAACTTGCGTCATCTGTGATGCCTACTAACGAAATATGCGACTAAGTATCAAAGAAAGTGTACGCTGTGTTGCAGTCCGTTCTCTCCTGTTGCACGGCTGTGAGATATGGCTGTTAAAAGTGAAAGATATGAGGCGATCACAGTGTTTTGATTGCAGATCGCGGTTGATGGAATCAACGTCAAAGCTACTTTGAGGTCATAGGAGGGATACTATGCAAGGCAGGCAAGTGGGTTGATGAAGTTTGAACCTGAGTCGACTGAGATGGCTTAGACACGTGTTATGCACGTCAAGCCGTCACTTATCTCAAAGTGCCATGCTAAGAGCAGTTGGATTAAGCTTATTTAAATAAGGTTCAGGCTGACCAGACTAAGATGTGACACCAGTTGATGAAGTCCCCGAATGTTTACCTGAACCGTGTTAGCAGATGTAGATTGCTGTATAGGGTCTACAAGACGAAAGAAATCAATAGTTGAGGACTGACTCTTGATGATATGGCTGAAAATCAGTCACGATTGCACAGATGTATTCACTCCTCGATATCTTGTAAAGCTTGAATATTTTCACTGCCCATTATCTTCAGACTGTTTATTCTCTCACACAACTTCGTATACTTTGATTTCAGTCTCTTTCTATTCACGTATTCTTTTCGTACTACTGTGAAATAAGGCGAAATGAGCTGATCCACTTGTGTGACACGTTCTACTATGATTCTCTCTGTCGGTCTGAGGGGTGCAAGGTTCGACTGTCAATAGAAATAGCCTCACTCGCTATATTTCAGGTATATCCCTTTGACGAGTCCTGAAAGGGTTGAAAAGCTGGACGCCATCGATTATTTCCATTATTAATACAGACGTTAATAAGCATAATATAGTTGTTACTAACCATAATGCTTTCTCCTACATTTACACAAAAGGTGGTTATCATGAATAAAAGAAATGTAGATTACAACCGATACTCTTGTACATTAGTTTAAATAAATTGAAGAACACATCTCACAGTTACTAGATAATATTTTGTTTCTTTTCTGACTGAAGACTAAGTTGATGCTGATGTTACTGACTTTTGTACGTTGTTTTTCTGATTTTTGTGTACGCAGTCATTGATTGCCGATTTCTACTGACATTCAGCCATTGGACAGATAGACAGACAAAAAGTAGAGTAGTTTGGCAATCACTTTATTGATTATCCTAACTAGTAACTATTTAACTAAACACGCGTCGCCACTAAGTGTCTGGAAATTATGATTTTTTGA